CGTAGAGAAGGTGTTGTCATCGTGTTTGGCTCCTCTTTCTGTCGGTGATGCTTTACGTCGCGTTTTTGAGGCAGTTGCAAGCGGTGTACTTCTTAAAAGTAAGTTCTCTTTAATTAGAACAGTTCGCTTGTTAACTTCGTTTCTACACAATAAACTTGAAAATTTTATTATCGAGAGTTCTTGGAGTGATATCACAACTTGAGCAAAATGACCATTCTTAAACACATTGACAATAGCGTGACGCGCATGCGCGTCAGACGCCCATACGGATGAGTCTCGTTTTGCTTGTGCTTATTTCGTGAGATTATCGCATCCGGGAACTAGCGCATTGTGATCAGTAAGAAATTATTGAATTGGTACCGATGACTCTGTAGAAATATTGATAAAAAGATGTCGAGGCACACGCACAACAGGCTTTCGTCAATGTGTTAACCAAGTAGCAGGTATCTGTGTTTGTTGTTTTAGCTGGTCCAGGTATTGCCGATCCGTGTGAAAAGGAAGCGGTGGACGTTCTGGCGCCTCTTACCGGGCAGCAGAGGGAAGCGATCACTGCTAGTGCTCAGCATGCTCTTCGTCTAATAGCCTTTAACCAGCTTTACAAGGTAATTGGTTGCTCGAAACTTTTGTTGGACGTTGACATTATTTTTGGTCCTTCAGGTGTTGGGATTGGAGCGTCTGCCTGATGTTCGCCCACCGCTTACTGACAGGAAACGACCAATGGACACTGCAAACGCTGTTGAAGGTGCGCGATTTACTTACTCGATACCTGGCCATTTGAGAGAATTTTGCTCTAACAAAGTAATGCTCCTAGCGCTCATACATGAGGGGTGCTATCTTCCCCAACAAACATATAGAACAGAAGCAGTCGAAAGTCAGGAAATGATGTTGGATTGGATGTTTTTGTTGTACGATTGTGTGCTATGTCGAGGCAGCCTTCGTATTTTGCGCCACCGTCAGTTTGAGATTCCGCACCGTCCGCGTTCACCAATTAAGGGGATATTTCGAGAAGACGCTTCCCACAAT